GCCCTTTGGACACAAGCAGTGAATTATCCATTCATTTATTCATCCAACCATTAAATAAATGTATCACGCTCCTGTTATGTGCTGGACTCCATTTATGGCTTAGATAGAAATCAAAAGGGCATGGTCTCTGCCCCAGGGGACCACAGAGGAAAGAGAACTCAGGGGTGCACATTATTTGAGTATAGACAGACTAACCCGAAGAGGCTGTCTACACTTGCTATCATTGCTCACTCAACTTTAATGTATCCTTCAAACTCTTCACGACTGGCTTCGTCCCCACCACTCCATTGAAGTCACTTTTGGTGGGTGCACCAAGGACCCCATAACTTGCCAAATCTAACCTTTACTTCTCTGTTGGTTCTGACTCTCAGCAGAGTGCGCACATTCCTGCCTCTAGGCACTCACCGATTTTCTTGACTCCTCCCCCTCTAAGCTGCTCAGGCTTGGACCTTCTTTTTTCTATCTATACCCTCTCTCTCTAGGTGATCTCATCCAGTCGCATGGCTTTAAATACTATCTATATTCTGGTGACTCACAGATGTATATTTCCAGCCCAGCCCTCTCCTCTGAGCTCCAGACTCCCCTACCCAACTTCCTGCTTCATGGCTCTGTCCAAAAACATCTCAGACTCAGTAGATCCCAAGTACAGTTCTCAATTCTCCTATCCCAAACCTGCACCTTCTTCCCACTGCAGCAAACGAGCTTGCTGTTGCTCTGGATGTTTTGCTCAACATAAAAACTTAGGAATTGCCTCAAACCCCTCCCTGTTTCTCTTCTGATAAACCCATAGTCAAGGCCTGTTGCTTCAGGACTTCCCTGGTGGTCTGGTGGCTAAGATCTGCGCTCCCAATGCAGGCGGCCTGGGTCTGATCCCTGGTCAGGGAACCAGATCTTGTGTGCTGAAACGAAGAGTTCCCATGCAGCAACTAAAAAAAAAAAAAATTCAGCATGTCTCAGCTAAGACCCAGCACAGCCAAATAAGTAAGTAAAAAAATATATATTTTAAAAAGAATATATAATTTAAAAATTGGCTCAATTTCCAATCTAAATCTCAAGTTCATCTACTTCCCTCTTCTCATTCAAGCCAACCCCATGTCTCATCTGGCTTATTGCAACGTTTTGTGGACTGCATGATCTCTATTCGCTCTTCCCCCATTGAGAACAAACCAGAACACATTGATCCACTACTTAAAACCCTCCAGTGGCTTCCTTTGAACTTCTTACCCTGATCTGTGAGTCTCTTGTCTACCTACCCACTTCAGTTCTTTCCCAGCTTCAGTTCCTTAGCATCTCCCAGCCTCTGCATACCCCTCTGCCTCCCACTCTCTTGCCCCCTATTTGACCCAGGAATTCTTCCTCATCTTCCAAGTCTCAGCTGAGACAACACTTCCGCTGGGAAGTGAACCTGAATTTTCTGACCATCCCGCATCACCACATCAGTCTCACTGCACTGGAGTTGTCTGTGTATTTGTCTATTTCCCTTACAAGCCTGTGAAGCCAGAGATCATCGATCTTGGTCATAGCCGTAGCACCACAATATAGAGTAGGTATTCAATAAATATTTATTGGCTTAATGGATGGATGAAAAGCCTTTCCACCTCTAGACGTACGAGGGCTCAGCACTGTCTGCATGTCCCCCTGCAACCAGCTGGAACTCCAGCCTCATCCTCACCTTCCTGCAACAAGGCTTTCTGGATGCCCCATGGTGGGTCTGCACTAAGCCCCTGAGAAGAAAGTAGCGGAGGAAGCAGCTGTGGGCTTCTCGCCCAGCTCACCCCTCCTCTCACTGCAGACCTAGGTCTGCCTTTCCTCAAACTCGCCAGCTTTGATCATGGATAGCATCTCCCTTAGTCCTGCCTCCTTTCTTATCCTGGAGAAACTCAAAGAAAACCTTATGGCTGCTTTTATTCTAAAAAGATATTATTTCAGGGTTTCCCTGGTGGCTCAGTAGTAAATAATTTGCCTGCCAATGCAGGAGACACAGGTTTGATCCCCAATCTGGGAAGATCCCACGTGCCGTGGAGCCACTAAGCCTGTGCACCACAACTATTGAGCCTGTGCTCTAGAGCCCAGGAGCCGCAACTACTGAGCCCAGACCTCAACTACTGAAACCTGGGCGTCCTAGAGCCTGTGTTCCACAAGAGAAGCCACCGCAAGGAGAAGCCTGCGCACTGCAACGAGAGAGTAACCTCTGCTCCTTGAAACTAGAGAAAAATCCAAGCAGCTGTGAAGAACCAGCACAGCCAAAATAAATAAAATTATTTTTTAAAAGATGCTATTTTAGTGTATTCTTTGGAGTAGGTAACATATGCACATGGTACAAAATACACATTTCCTATTCCTTCCCTCTCTGGCCTCACGACAGCCTCCTCAGAGGTCACCATAGCTACTTTTTCTGTGAGGCCTTCTATAAATTTATGCACAAATAAACAAACATGTAAGTTCTCTCTCTTTTTTTACTCAATGGTAGTATTCCATTCATGCTCCTCTGTAGCTTACTTTTTTCAGCTGCCATGAGATTGTGAAGATGATTCTGTATAAGTACATAAAGAGCCTCATTGTCATGGCTGCATGTTATTTCATTGTGTGAAACTGTGTCATAACTGATTGAATCAGATGGACATTTAAGTTGTTTCCAATCTTTTGCCATGGCAGATATGGTGCAGTTAATAATCTTGAACTTCTAGTATTTTGCTCGTGGGCCAAATCCTAAAAGCGGAATTTCTGGATCAAAGAGTCTAACAGTGGTTACAGAGATGGTATCCATTTATCCACAGCCTCATCAACATTGTGTGTTATCATTTGCTTTAATGTTTACCATGTGATCAGTGACAAGTGGTATCTCAGGGTAGTTTGGTTTTACATTTCCTTTACTTAAAAAAAAATGGGGTAGGGACTTGCCTGGAAGTCCAGTGGTAAGGCTTCACGGTCCCACTGCAGAGGGCACGAGTTTGGTCGGGCAGCTAAGGTCCTGCATGCCACACATCGCAGCCAAAAAAAGGGGGGGGGGTTGTAAAAATCCATATATGAATAGTTATACTGGGTTGGCCAAAAAGTTCTTTCAAGTTTTTCCTTAAAATGTTACAGAAAAAGATGAACTTTATGGCCAACTCAATATCTTAGCCATTTTCAAGCACCAGATTCAGCAATACTAAGTATACTCACATTGCTACACAACCTAAAATCACAGTATTTAATGATGACAACGTAGTGCAAGGCCCAGCTTGGGACAGCCTCTGTTCCTCAGTGGTGGTGGAGACAGAAATGTAAACAGGAGTGACATGCCAGCGTCACCAGAGCGGAGGCTGTGAGAGCTCAGGAGTCTGGGGGCTGGGCCGGGGGTGTGGGGGATGTGTCTTAGGAAGAGGGGGTCCAAGGTGCCCTCTGAAAAAAGGAAAGATCTTCCACGCTGAGGAACTTGGGTGAGCAAAGTTCTGCAGAAATGTAAACAGGAGTGACATGCCAGCGTCACCAGAGCGGAGGCTGTGAGAGCTCAGGAGTCTGGGGGCTGGGCCGGGGGTGTGGGGGATGTGTCTTAGGAAGAGGGGGTCCAAGGTGCCCTCTGAAAAAAGGAAAGATCTTCCACGCTGAGGAACTTGGGTGAGCAAAGTTCTGCAGGACTGAGAGACCCAGGTATGTTCTAGGAACTGCAAGTAATGTTCCTGAAAGCCAGCAAGATGAGTAAGGGGGATGAGATGGGAGAAGTCACAGTCTTAGGCTGAAGGGCCTTGAAGGTCACTGTGAGGACTTTGTCATTGGGGGCTGGCAAGTTTGGGAGAGAAGAGAGCCAAAATCCAAGACTGGAGTTAGACTGACAGGTAGGTGCTGGGCTCAGGTGAGAGAAGGAGAAGAGAAGGAAGGCCTGCAGGGCTCTGGGGCATATAGAACGAAGCCTTGTGCTCAGCTGCACCTGAGGGTCAGACTGCCAGTGGGAAGGTGAGAGATGGTGGATTCCCAAACGAGATGCCAGCCCTAAGAAGCGGACATGGACCCTCGGGACCTGGGTTGGGTCCAAGGAAAGAAGCCTAACCAGTCAAAGGATGGAAGCGTGAGGTGAGCCACAGCCTCAGGCCTCAAACTGTGAGGTTTCCCAGCCGAGGGGCCGGGACGCGAGATTGCAAACTAGGGACCGCAGGCGGATCAGATCCCCCTCCCCAGCCCGCTCCTGGGTCATTGCGGTTCTCTAAGCCCCGCCCCACAGGCCCCGCCCCTACGGATATTGATAGGGGAGGCTAGACACCCTCCCCCCTCCTCCGCGGGGGAGGGGCGTGAGGACTGGCGAGGTGGGGGGGGGGTAGGATGGTACGGCGTCGCCATGGCAACTAGGCCGGTGGTCTACCCTGTAGACCCGGGAGGGAGGCCAGCAGAGAGCGGCGGAGCGAGGCTCCGCGGGCTGGGCGCGGGGGCTCGGGTCTCCAGGGAGGAGTTGGGGAACACCGGGCTGTTCTCGCTGAGGGTTCCTGGTGGCGCAGGTTGTCCGTGTGTTTGCGAGCGTGTGTCTGCGAAGTTCTCCGGGGTAAGTGTGCCAGCGCGTGTCTGGGTTTGTGCATGACTGTGAGCGTGCGCACGTGGGCACAGGCGTGTGCGCGGGAGTGTCCGTGCAAGATGCGTGTGCCAGCCTGCCCGTGAGTGTGTGTGCAGCCGGGTGCGTTCCTTAAGTGTGCCCGGGCGGGCGCCGGCGGGAGAGTCCCGCCCCCTCCCCAGCCTCCGGCCGCCCCTCCCCGCCCCCCCCCACCCCCCCCCAGCCTCCGGCCGCCCCTCCCCGCCCCCCGCCGCCCGCGCCGGCTGCCTCCTAGCCTCCACCTCGCTCACCCCCTCCTCCCCGCACTTTCTCCGGCTCTCCCTCCCGCTCGGCTCCGACTGCCGGACTCGGCGCTCTTCTCTCCGGCCGCCCTGGGAATCGCCGGCCGCCACCGCCCAGCCCGCACCCGCTGGCCCCCCAGTGCTTGGGCACCTGTTGGAGGCGCAAAGATAGGTGCTGGGGGCTGGGCTGCCGGGGGCTAGAGGGTGAGGGTGAGCGTGTGTGTTCAGCCTGTGTGTGCCTCCGGGGGGTGTTCGGCTCTCCGGAGGCTGCAATTCCTGGCTCCGCTGGAGATCCGACCTCAGGAGGAAGCATCTGAGGTGGGGGTCCCCACCTTGGGCCGCAGAGGGTGGGGGACCAGCCAGCAGGCAGACCCTGAGGTTGAATGAAGGGACTGTGGGAAGTGAGAACCTAAGGGGTGGGTGACACCCAGACCAGACCAGTGCCTGGTGCAGAAGGATGGCCAGAGCCTCAGAGAGGGAGAGGCGGGAGCTTACGGGGGGCCGCTTGAGGGGTCGGCAGGGCCCAGAGCAGACAGAAGCCCAGAATGAGGGACAGGAGCTGGGACGAGGACAGGGGACAGTCTAGAGGTAGGTGGGCAAGGCTGAGCTGGAGCCAGGACCTCTCTTCCGGGGGTGGCTGCCAGCCTGGCCTCCGGGGGGAGCACAGCTCAGGGTCTGGAGGGCCCAGGCCTCCTGACTGCCCGTCGGCAGGCACAGGCTGCCCTCTCCCTCAGCACCCAGGAAGGGAGGCCAGTGAGGGCCCTCAGACCCCAGCAGTTGCCGCCTGGCCCTCAGCCAGCCGACGGGAGGTTTGAGGACTCAGCCAGCCTGGGGCTCACACTCTCTCCCTCCCCAAGCTAGGGGTGCTTCATGAGGGGCCGCAGGGGCGACCGCATGGCCATCAACATCCAGGAGCACATGGCCATCAACGTGTGCCCGGGGCCCATCCGGCCCATCCGCCAGATCTCCGACTACTTCCCCCGCCGGGGACCCGGCCTCGAAGGGGGTGGCGGGGGCTTCGGAGAGGCCCCTGCTCATCTGGCCCCCTTGGCCCTGGCCCCCCCGGCGGCCCTCCTTGGGGCCACCACGCCCGAGGAGGGAGCCGAGGTGGACAGCTACGACTCGGATGATACCAGTGAGTCTGGGGGCTTGAAGGGCCCAGGGCACTCCTGGGGGCCTCCAGGCTGGTGGGAAGGGCCTGGGCTCTGCTGGGGGTGGGGAGGCGGCGGGCACTGCTGCCACAGCTGCAGTCGGAGTGGAGATTACAGCTTCAGCAAGGCTCAATATTCAATATTTCTGCTGAGACACTCAACCACCCACACAGCCCCAGTTGCAGCCCAGCCAGGGACCCAGACGCGCACAGGCTCGCGGGCTGACAGCCGCAGACACGCACACACCTTCACAGCTGGCGCACAACCCGTCTCTCACACACACCTTGTCTTTACGGCGCACTCACTCAGGTGAGCTCTTCTCTCTTCCTCCAGCCGCCCTGGGCACGCTGGAGTTTGACCTTCTCTACGACCAGGCTTCCTGCACTCTGCACTGTAGTATCCTCAGGGCTAAGGTGGGTACTCCCTGCCTCCCCCTGCTGGCCTCCTATCCTGAGAGGGGTGGGTTTCCATTCTCGCTTCCCTCGTGTCCAACTCTGCGCCCCATGGACTCTAGTCCATGGGATTCTCCAGGCCAGCATACTAGAGTAGACTTTCCCTTCTCCACTCCCTTCCCTTCCCCAGGCCTAATTCCTGCTCCTCCCCTCCAGCCCCTAAGTGTCCACGCTGTAGAGAGACAGAGAGGAAGAGGGCAGGTGAGTGGGCACTCTGGGAGCTCACAGCTGTCTTCCCTCTCGTCCTCCCCAGGGCCTCAAGCCCATGGATTTCAATGGCCTGGCTGACCCCTATGTCAAGCTGCACCTGCTGCCTGGAGCCTGCAAGGTACTGGCTGGCCTCTCCCCTCCCCTAGTCCCCCCAGCTTGTGGGTCTGGGGGACACGTACTGTGAATCCTTCATCCCCTCACCTAAGGCCAATAAACTAAAAACTAAGACTCAGAGGAACACGCTGAATCCCGTGTGGAACGAGGACCTGACGTATAGCGGGATCACGGTTGATGACATCACGCACAAGGTGCTCAGGTGAGGGGTCCATCATCCCCGGTCCCGATCATTCAAGCTCAGCACCTCCTTGGGGACAGCTGTCACTGGAACCTTCTTTGGTTGGTTGACTCACCTCCCATTAAGCCCTCAGATGCTCCAGAACCCCCTTCAGGAGCAGGCCAGAATGTTTCCCCGACTTTCCTGCCACCCCCCTCCCCCAAATATCTCCTACTGCTCCTCTGAGGACTGCCCTCTCATGAGGGTTCTTCACTCCCGACCTTTGTCTGCTGTGCCTCTTCCTGCCTCCTCTCTGCCGGCCTGAACCCCACTCATCAGCCAAGGCTCTGCCTCCTCTTGCAGTCTTTCCCTGGACACTGGGATGCCTTCTCAGAGTCCTTGACTCAAGTCAGACCTATGCAGCCCATTGCTGCCCGTGTCTCCCTGACATATCTAAGGAGTGAGGTCTCAAGGGACAGGAATGGAATGAGGTTCAGGGAGGTTAAGTGACTTGCTCAAGGTCATGCGGTCACTATGTGGCAGAGCTGGGAACTGAACATCCCTACATGACAGAGCTGCTCCAGAGCATCACAGCTGAAGGCAGGGCAGGGGGCTGCGGAGGCGGCTGGATAGAAGTAAAAGCAGAATTTTTTTTTTTAAGTTATTTGTTTAGTTCTGTCAGGTCTCAGTCGATCTTAGTCGCAGCTTGTGGGATCCAGTTCCCTGACCAGGAATGGAACCCAGGCCCGCTGCATTGGGAGCATGGAGTCTTAGCCACTGGACCACCAGAGAAGTCCTGAGCAGTACTTTTTAATTCCTGGGCTCATGAGTATCTCCCAGGCTGGCTCCTGCTCCACAGAGTAAAGGACAAGGGCTCTAGCGGGGGAGGGGTGGGCTCCTGGTCCGACTGCGCAAGGCCCCTCCAGGCCCTTCTGGCTCTGACGTCCTGGTCTCGTGACCCATATTCACCAGTGCACAGCCTTGCACCTTCAGTTGGATCCTGTCCCCGGGCCCTGAATGGAGGCAGTTATGTGTGTGTAGGGGGGAGGGGACAGTGTTCCCAAGATTCGTGAGGGTTTCCTCAGCAAGCTGAGCAGGTCTGGATGGGCAGGGAAAGCGAGGGGCTGAGGCACAGGCACATCAAAGCATCCTCCTCAGGCTCCAGGCCTGGTGCTGGAGACAGCTGTTCTCCAAGTGAGGGGTTTGGTGACTCAGACAGTAAAGGATCTGCCTGCAATGCAGGAGACCCGGGTTCAACCCTTAGGTTGGCAAGATCCCCCCGAGGAGGAAATGACAACCCACTCCAGTGTTCTTGCCTGGGAAATCCCATGGACGGAGGAGCCTGGAGGGCTACAGTCCATGGGGTCGCAAAGAGTAGGACACGACTGAGCAATTAACAACAGAGTACTGAGGGCAAAGCTGGGACCAGTCTCAGGTGCTCAGAATTCAGGGGGGGGACCTTTCTCCCACCTTGAAGTGGGGCTCAGGTACCCCAGGGGGCCTTGACCCTGCAGTTCCCCACCAGGATCTCCGTCTGTGATGAAGACAAGCTGAGCCACAACGAGTTCATTGGGGAGATCCGAGTACCCCTCCGCCGCCTCAAGCCTTCACAGAAGAAGCATTTTAATATCTGCCTCGAGCGCCAGGTCCCGGTCTGTGTGGGGCGGTGGGGTACCATGGCAAGGGGGCCCAGGGGAGACCAGGTTTCAACTTTCTCTCCACCCCCTCAGCTGGCTTCACCCTCTTCCATGTCTGCTGCGCTGAGGGGCATCTCCTGTTACCTGAAGGAGGTGAGCCACCCATGGGGGCTGCTTCTGGTGGGAGGTGGTGGGGGTGCCGCTGACCCCCGTGTCTGCCTGCAGCTGGAGCAGGCGGAGCAGGGGCCGGGGCTGCTGGAGGAGCGTGGGCGCATCCTGCTGAGCCTCAGCTACAGCTCTCGGCGCCGCGGGCTGCTGGTGGGCATCGTGCGCTGTGCCCACCTGGCTGCCATGGATGTCAACGGCTACTCCGACCCCTATGTCAAGACGTGAGCCTCTGCCCTGTCCTGAGGCCTGTCCTCCCCTCCCCAGGGACCTGCCGCCAGCCCCATCCTCCTCTGGGGTCTGGCCACTCCCTGACCTACTTGCCTCCCACCCCCGACTCCCATTCTCCCCCGCTCCTTGACAGGTACCTGAGGCCGGATGTGGATAAGAAATCCAAGCATAAAACATGTGTGAAGAAGAAGACTCTCAACCCGGAATTTAATGAGGTGAATGGGACTGAGACCGGAAATTGAGTGGAAGGGGTTGGGGCTGGGGGCAGGCAGCACCTCATGGAAGGTGTGGCCTGCCCTGTCCCAGGAGTTCTTCTATGATATGGAGCTCTCCACTCTGGCCACTAAGACTCTGGAAGTCACAGTCTGGGACTATGACATCGGCAAATCCAACGACTTCATCGGTGAGGGAGGAGCCTGCCCGGTGGTGCCCTATGGAGGGCAGCCTGGCAGCCAGCCTGGCCCTGATCTTGCCTGCCTCTGCTGCTCCCCAGGTGGCGTGTCCTTGGGCCCAGGCGCCCGGGGAGAGGCCCGGAGGCACTGGAGTGACTGTCTGCAGCAGCCAGATGCAGCCCTGGAACGCTGGCACACTCTGACCAGCCAGCTGCCCCCCGCAGCCGGGGCTCTGCCCTCAGCCTGAGTGGCACGGTGGCCCCTTGGGGCCGGGTCCAGTACCCAACCTTCGCACGAGCGTGTTGCACGTTTACAGGGGGTGGATGCCCCGCCCCGCACTACCTGTCTTATTTTGTGAGAGTCTCCGTGACTGTGGGTCTGTCTTCTTGTGAGGGACTGTGGAGATCTATATTCACATATGCAAACTTCCTTCTGCCTGACTCGCTACAACCTGCAAATATGCAAACCGCCCATCCTGAGCACACCTGCGGGGGGTCCCACAGAGCCCAGGGCCCCAGCTGCCACTTCTCTCTCCTGCCTCTCCAGGCTGCCCGTTCCCCTCCCCTGCAGGAGGAGGTCGGATTAGGGGGGGTTTGGAGGAGAACGTTTCCAAAAAAGAAAAGGACAAAAAACAAAGAGCCACTTCTTTAATACACAATCTTCATTTAAAAAACACCACACACACACACACACACACACATACACACACACACACACACACCTAGCCCTGTACAGCTGCCCTTTTAAGCGGGGGGCCACTGCAGGGTCTCTGCCTCTCTGAGTCACTTCTTTAATACACAATCTTCATTTAAAAAACACCACACACACACACACACACACACACACACACACACCTAGCCCTGTACAGCTGCCCTTTTAAGCGGGGGGCCACTGCAGGGTCTCTGCCTCTCTGAGAGGTGATGGATGGCCCTGGCCACTCCTTTAAGTAACTGTCCTCTGGATCAGGCTGGGATGTGAGGGCAGGACCCCTGCCCTCCATGGAGAGGGCCCACCTTCTGGGGGACATTCGTGCATGTTTACGCCTTTTCTGATTGTGTCCGTGGCCGCAGCATGGCAACTGGGTGTCAATAAACTCTGCGGAAGCTGGGGGCTCATGTGTGCTGGCACCGAGGGGGCTGGGCAGGGGGCTGGGCAGAGGGGCTCACTCCGGGATGTCAATCACCAGGTCATCATCCCCGTCCAGGGCGTCGTCCCCGCTGCCCGCGTCGCTGAACATCTGCCGAGGAACGGCGCTCAGGATCGTAGGGGGGGGCATCTTGGGTTGGGGTAGGGGGGCCAAGGCTGCCCCCACCCCAGCCCCAGAGCCCCGGCCTGGGAAGGTCAGCGGCCCTCCCACAGGGCAGTCGGGGGGTCCCACCGCCATCTGCAGCAGGGGGAGAAACACAGGGAGGGCTTATCAGGGAGGCACTGGGAGCTCCAGGGGGCTGACACTGCCCCTTAAGACAGTTCTAAGGGCCAGGGAAGGGGGGCAAAAGCTCGTTCAAGGGGCAGTGGACACACCAGGCCAGCCAAGGCTGGAGTCAGGGAACCTGCCCCACCTCAGCCCTTTCAGAGCATCAAATCAGCAAGTGCCTGGGGGTGAGGGGTGGTGATGGAGGTGGTGATGAGGGTGGTGGTGGAGGGGGTCTCACAGGAAACCAGGAAGGAAAGGCTGGGCCTGGCCCTGGCCAGTAAGGCACCGTGGCTGCCCCTGCAGTAGCAGTCAGAGCCAGTCAGGAGCCTGCCTGCCCGCCTGTGGGCACCTGGGTTACTGCTGGACTCCACTGGCCTCCTCTCTCTCCTCCTCTTGAGGGGCTCACTGGTGCGGTGCAGGGTGTCCAAGGTCTTCACCCCCCCGCCATGTGAGGTTTCTACCTCTTATGTCTGGGACGGGCCCCTCTTTGGGATCCCCGCAGCCGCTGGCCTGGGCCAGTCCCTTCTCTCAGCTCACCTGGGCTATGGGACCAGCCTCCTAACTGGAATCCCTGCCTTCAGCCTCTCCCAGATCCAGCTCCTCCTCCACACTGCAGCCAGAGTGAGCTCTCTAAAACACAGACCTGAGCGTGTCACTCCCCCACTCGAGGGCCTCGGGGGACAGGCAGTGCCTAAGAATAGGCTGGTCCCTCCACCTGGAGTGCCCTTTTCTATGGGTCAGAAGTCCGGCTTTGTGCTGAGGCTGGGAAGTGGCCTCTGTTCAGCTCAACCCTCCAGCTGCCCCCCAGCCCCAGGTCCTTCTGAATTCTCCCCAGAGCTCTGGGGGCCTCATGCTCTGCCCGTGGGCACAAGCTGAACACCTACTACGTGCCAGGTGACTTCTGCTAATGACCTCTGACCATTCTGAGCACCCTGGAAGGCAGGAGAGGTCATCAGCCAGAGGAAACGGAGGCTTGGAGTGGCGGTCTGAAGGCACACGCGCCCCGGGTTCCCACTGGGCAGTGTCCAGTCTGGCCCCAGGGTGGGGGCGGGGCAGTGGTCTTCATGGTGGCCCTTCTGATTGCTTTAACTCATTTGGGCCCCAGGGGCCTACTCTCTGCTTCTCAAGGCATCCCCCCCTCCACTCACTGCTATTCCTGGGGTGGCATGGAGGGCCAGAGGGGATTTGTAACTCAGGGGACAGGAGTCCACCAGGACTGATGACAGGCAGGAGGCCAGCTCTGCACAGTGGCCTCCCACGAAATACCAGGCACCCATGTGCACACACGGGACCAGATGCACACCCACAACTGAAAAGGCCAGTGGCATAGCTGTCCCCTCCTCTGGTCACAGCCTCTTGAGTCCCTACCCAAGTCCCCTCTGCTTGGATTCACTCCATGGCCTCCTCAGCGTGACCCACAGCAGCAAATGTTTATCTGTGGCCTGCCAGGGGCCAGGCACTGGGCTAAGTGTCTTCTCTCTGTTGACTCATTTTATCCTCACAGGGACCCCACTGAACAGAGAAGCAAGCAGAGGTTCCCAGAGTCAAACAATCCACCCAAGTCACACAGCTCATGCGTGGATGAGGCCCAGGCTCCTGACTGACCTGCTTCAGTCTTCACAGCGTTCCCTCTCCTCCTCAGACCTGCCCCTCCTGTCTCCTCACACCCAGAAACTTTAGTGACCCCTCACTCTCCTTGCAGAACATCCAGCTGTCTACGACCCACGCCACCCTATCTTTTTTCCAATGTTCTTTCCCCTCACCACTCATGCTTCAGCCCAAACAACACTTTGACCATACTCCTGCTTTCTTTTCACCATTGCCTCTGCCTAAATACCCAAATCTCACTCACCCTGGACTCAGATGTTACCTGTTCTTTGAGGCGTTCCCCGATACACCCTCTCCCCCACGCACAGTGATCCATCTGGGCCCCTCTGCCCTGCATGTCTAGAATGTAGCTTCCTGACACATCTCTGCTTTAGGACCCAGAACCTCAAAGCCTCAAACTGCCAAGCCTGCACCATGCCTTCACCCTCTGGCTCCAGGTTTCAGCGGCCCGAGCCCTCTCCACCAGCCCGCCCCACACACAAGAAGCAAAAACCCTGCTGAGGAGAGTGAAACAAGCTGGGCAGTCACTCATTCTCCAGGTTCCCCCACGCACAGTGATCCATCTGGGCCCCTCTGCCCTGCATGTCTAGAATGTAGCTTCCTGACACATCTCTGCTTTAGGACCCAGAACCTCAAAGCCTCAAAATGCCAAGCCTGCACCATGCCTTCACCCTCTGGCTCCAGGTTTCAGTGGCCCGAGCCCTCTCCACCAGCCCGCCCCACACACAAGAAGCAAAAACCCTGCTGAGGAGAGTGAAACAAGCTGGGCAGTCACTCATTCTCCAGGCTCAAAGGCCAAGGTCATACAGAAGTAAGTGGCAGGGCTGGGGTTCAAACTCCAGAAGCCACACTCCTGACTACCACAAGCATGGTTCCCATTTCACTTCTGGCTCCAGAGTCTCGAGTCTACAGTCTACCCAAAGGAGAGCCATCACACCAGTCCCTATATCACTTTGGCTCAGAGCTGGAAGGGCACTGTGCCTTCCGGGTCCTCATCTCTCCTGGCACTCAAGGTGCCAACTTCTCTCCATCTACCTCCCTGCCCATGACTTCCAAATAGGCACCTCATGTGGCCCAGGCTCACACTACCCAGTTGTCCTGTCCACATTTCCAGACAGCATCTCAACATGTCCAAAGCCAAACTCACCTTCCCTCCCAAGCCTGCTCCTCCCACAGTCCTCCCCAACTCAGAAGGGCCACTCCACTTCTTCAGCTGCTCAGGCCAAACCACCTGGAGTCACTGTCCACGCCCCTCTCTCTCATAGCCCACACGGGTCTTCCCAGGGCTCGTTCTCTCAAAGAGACCCATCATCGACTTCTACCCTTCTCCATGCTGCTTCAATGACTGCAGCAGCCTCTTCACTGGTCTCCCCACTTCCATCCTGACCTTGCCCCTAACCCCTAGACTATTCACAGCAGTGTCAAGCAATGTTCTTAACATGTCAGTCAGATGAGAACCCACTAGGCCCGCCTTCTCCCGTGGCTCCCATTTCACTCACAGGACAAGTGCAAATCTTTATAGCACCTCTGAGGCCCTCCACGTCCTTGGCTCTCAGGTGCTGCTCTGACTTGCACTCTGGTCACTCTTTCTCACTCAGCTCTGACCACACTGACTTCCTTCCTAAATGAAACACTTTCAAGACAGCCAAAGGGCTGCTGCTCATTCCCTTTTAAATCTCTGACCACCCAACTGTAAGATGGATTCTTTACCTGAATCCATTTTTCTACATTGTGACCTATTTATCTTGTTTATTTTCTGCCTATCCCTTCAAGAACGTGGGCTCTGAGAAGGTAGGGATTTTTGTTGTGTTCACTACTCTACCTGCAGCACCTAGAATAGTGCTTGGTACACAGGAGGCGCTCCACAATTCTTGATGATTACATGTGGTCTGATCACTCCCTTCATACACACACAATCTGAGACCTAGAGGGTCAAGGTCACGTGGTTTTTAAGTGGTGCAACCTTGACTTCATTCTAGATTCCACAACTCCATCCCTCCTTGGAGGCTCCCTGGAATCACAGAACACCTGTGAAAAGGAGCTTGGCCCCCAGCAGTCTTCACTCTTCGTCCCCTGAGGTTGGGCTTGACCTGACTGGTGTTGCAGGAGCCAGGACTTTTGGGACCCACCCCTCAGCACCCAGCCCTGGGCTGGGCCCCTGGGAGCAGTCCCACATAAGTCCTTCATAGTTCTAGGCCAGGCCCCCAGCCTAGAGCCGTCTTGAGCCTCCCTCAGATGGTTGTCCTGCCGTTCTGGCCCCTCCCTAATGTCCCCCAAACAGGGTACCTTGAGTTTCCGGGGCAGGCGGGGCCGTTTCTCCCGCTTGGGCCTCAGGGGGCTGGGCTCGGGCAGCTGCAGGGCCAGGTAGTCAGAAGGGAATGGGGGGTAGGTGGGGGAAGCCAGCTGCAGGCAGGAGTGAGGGGATGGAGATGGGAAATGGAGTGGATGGGGTGGGGGTGGAGGGAAGAAATGCAAACAGGAGGAAGAATGGAAAAACAAGAGATGGTGATGAGTGTGGCTCCTGAGAACAGACGGGAGGGGACAGCAGCAGGACTGTGTCCTGGAGTCTGCGCTCCTCAGTCATGCCTGTCCCCCATTCCTACACCAGAGAGGAGCGGGCAGCCCCGACTCACACCCCTCCAAGGGACACCTGCTGGCCACCCCCAGACAGGGTCCTTGGTGCTGGGCTGGCTTCACCCTGAGGCCTGGCCCCTCTGCCCAAATGATGCCCACCTTTTCCCAGGCATCAGACCATTTCCCACCCTTGACCCCAACTCACCGAGCTCAGGTATGGGGAGGGGGCCCTTGAGGCCTGAAGGGGAAACCCTGTTGAAGGAGGCAGGGAGAGGCTGGAGGGGGAGGGAGTGCCCCCCAGTGGAGGGCTTCTCTTCCTGGAGAAAGGACAGGGGAGGGGGTCAGAGGCAAAGAGGTGGCCTGTACCCTCCCCACCTCCCACCTCCTCGAGAGAATGACGACTCGTCTCACCTCTTAGGGGCAGGTGTGTCTGACAACTTGGGTGTCCCCTCTGTCTCGCTGTTGTCTGAAGATGCAGTGGCATCAGAGTCTGTCAAGGGGAAGGGCTGGTCAGTAGGGAGGTTGCTGGGGGGGTGTTCCCTATCTACCCCAGAGGGGTGTAATCTCAACTCTACAGAAGGGCTCTGGTGAACCTGAGGGGTACACAGGTGCTATTGTGGAGAGGCCCACAGCTTCCCCAGCTTCTTAAAATGCCCTTTACACCCTAATTCCTGGCTGGGCACCACCATGCTAACATATTTGTCAAGCATTTCCTATGTGCCAGGTTCTGAACAGGTGCTTGACATTTGCTGCCTCTCATTGTCTTCAGAAGTATTCCAGGAGGAAGAGGAGAGCGTCACCTCTGCTTTCCAGATGCAGTCCCTGAGACTCGGAAATTAAAGTGTGGGACTGGGGCTTGTACCCAGGCCTCTGGCTCCTGACCATTTTATGCTCTTATTTGTCTCTGAGCTGTCTAGCACTCACCTCTACTCCACTCCCCACATCCAGGCTCCTGGTAATATGCACCTTAAATCTTACCTTCACCTACTGCTTCTGATTCCAACTACATGAGATCAGGCCACTACCATGTCAAAGCCACCTGCTCAGGAATCTCATCACTCCTGCCATTCTGTCCTCCCCAACCCCAGCATGACCTAAAATGTAAAACTGATCACATCCTTACTGAGGTCTGCCAGCATTTGAAATGCTTCTTATTATGGCCTCAACTTACCTTTCTGGTCTCCTAACCACACTGTATTCACATCACACCAATCTGTTTTCTCAAAGCCGAAAGTCATTCCCCAGGTTGGGTCTCCATCAAGAAGGCCTATGGTTCACTTAACAAGTAACTACTTACAGGTGAAATACACTATTCCCACTTGCTCTGCTCAGATATCCTTAAGCAGAAGATTAAATGCTACCTGAGAAGTCTCCCAGAGTCCCTCGGGCCCAGCGGATGGCTGATTCTTCCATAACTCTCTATTCTCAATAGTTAGGGCTCTCCTTGCTGTGCCAGGCAGTGTCATATGTGGCTGTCTCCCTCACCACACTGTGGGCTTCTCTGAGATTTAAAGGTGGCTTACATCTCTAGTTCTTGCTTCTCAGATATATCCCACTCTGACCATGAACATGCTGGGTTCCCTCATGCTCCCTATCCTGAAGTCTCCCTTGACAGGATGTTAACTGAAAGACCTCCAGGAAGGAACAAGAAAGCAACGAGAAATTAGAATAAAGGCTGAATATTTTGCCATGAGGTACATGGGCCACCCCGAGTCTACTTCTCTGACCTCATCTACTGTTCTCCTAAAATATGTAAATAAATGGGTGCTGCATGTTTTAGCAAGATATTATTTTACAAAAAGCAACCTGGCTGGCTGTTTGCTGATCCCTGCACTAGACACCATGGAAACGTGACTGCATGTGACCTGGCTTATGACAAAAATAAAAGACTGGCCACAAAGGCCAATCTTAGGGCTTTTTCTTAGTTCTACCACTTTATTGCTACAAACCCATCTTCCTCCACCCTCATGCACACATGCTCAGTCATGTAATCCCATGGACTTCAGCCCGCCAGTCCATGGACTTTCCCAGGCAAGAATATTGGAGTGGGTTGCCATTTCCTTCTCCAAGGGCTTTTTCAAACTGTGGGTATCAACCTAACAGTGGATCACAAATTTAACACTTTTGAGGAAAAAAAAAAAAAAGTCAGTCTAAAAAGTATCAGAACTGCATAGTGATCTTAATGTTGTTTTATTCAATTCTGTCTTATAAGTAAGGAAGCATGTGAAGGTCCGTCATGATGTAAAATATATTACTAATTGTCAACAGTGCTCAAAAAGTTTGAGAACACTGCTTTTTAGGCTTCAGCTTTTCTGCTCTTCAAACCACCTGGTACAGTCTTACCTCAGAGAATCTGCATTTGTGACTCCCTCTGCTAGGAAATCTCTCACTCATCTTCACAAGATAGGTTTCTTCCTATCTAGGTCCCAGCGCACACATTACTTCCCGAAAAGACCCTCTTTTCGAAATGTTTCCTGCCATCTGCTTTTGTATGCTCTATAAACTATACATGGCTTTTACATTTTTAACTTGTTGGTCAGGGAAAAAGACAAATCAAAAGAAAGATATTTCATGATGTGAAAATTTTATGAAATTCAAATTTCAGTGCTTATAAATAAAGTTTTATTGAAACACAGCCATGTTCACTTATTTATACAACACCTATAGCTGTTTCGGAACTACCACCGCAGAGCTGAGTAGGTGCAATAAAAATGGTATGTTCTGCAAAGCCTAAAATACTTATTACTTGGCCCTTCACAGAAAAAGCGTATCAACCCCGGCTCTATTCCAATGACTACCAGTTAACCCTGATTTTATTCCCTTCCAATCTAAAATTCTAATTTGCTTCTTTGCTTACTTATTCCTGGCAACTAGAATACAAACTCCAAGAGGTTTCGTCTATCTTGGTTACCACTGCATCCTGTGTGCAAAGCTCAGTGTCTGAAACACAGCAGATACTCAGTAATACTTCAGTGAAAGAACAGCAGAGGAGGAGGGCCAGCAACTAGGCTGCCCTGGCCCCCAAGGCCTAAAGGGAGGGCCCGGGAAACTTGCTGGAGTGCCAGGAGCATGTCCTCCACCAATTTTTCATGACCTTGCTCACCAGAAGAGTCTTCATCCACGTTCTCGTACTGGAGAAGTCGGTCTAGGAGGAAACTGAGGGAAGAGACCAGGAGAACAAGAGTGGTTATTCCCATCTCTGCAATGTCCTCAGGGCCTTCCCCTCATCTAGCCGGCCTCATGCATTTGTGGCCCATTCCAGGATGGGGTCCGAATGCAGATCCACAGGAGCCACATCACCCTCTGGCTTCCCTCCTCCCATCAACGTGTCTCACCTCTTGTCCCGGGACACCTTCAGCAATTTCCTCTGCGCCTTCCTCAGTTCCTCCTGGAAGCACTCGTGTTCCTGTACCACGGGCAAGATGCGCGCTGAGACAACCGCCGTCGTAAATTGGGCCTGGAAGCCGACCACGACTCACCCTGCTCCCTTTACACATAGGTTAAACTGACGACCTACCGGCGCCAGGCCTCACCCCCCACCACCTTCCCACCCCGCACTCACGTAGATGAGGAATTTGAGTTTTCGCTTCAGATTTCGGTATTTCTTCTTGTAGTCCACTTCACCGTCCGCCGATCCGTTCATGACCGGCTCCGGGAGAAGCGCCTCAGCTGTAGTCCGGAGTCCCGCTACGCCGAGCCGGTTCAGCCCGGCCTCTCCCGCCTCAACTTCCGGGGACTCGGCAGGGCTGGGTCCGCTGGCACTACAACTCCCGGCGTGCCCCGCGCTCAGGGATCTTAACCACACGACCTGCTTTCCGGAGCAATACCGGGAAAGGAAAGTTGCTTCCAGGGGATTCGCGAAAGATGGCGCCGAAGCGAAGCGTGATGTCACAAAGATGGAGGACACTGGAGGGCGCCCTTAACTGATTCGAAATGTGCTTAGCGATTTGAAGTCACAAGAAGACATTCTCCCCTGAGATTCCTAGTTTTCAGGCGAGGACGCCCTTTTCCGTCTGTCTTTCAAAGTCACAGAGGCCTAGTTGTTGCCCGCGACCACGAACGGAGGCAGCGTCGCGGTTTGATTACGTTACACTCAAAGGTGTAGCCGGCTCCGAATCGGTTTCTAACGAGAACTTTAAAAAGCGATTCCTTCTAAGAAAAGGAAGGAGCCACGAGACCCTCCAACTGCCCGGCAAAAACAAGTTTTGTCTGGCAAATTCGACCCAAGCGGCGCGCGACAGACACGCAACTATCTCCTGCCTCAAGGCGTCACGGCACTGCGCGTGTGCAACCTCCTGTCAAACGCTTGGACGGAGGCCGAGAAAAAAGGCGGGAGCCACCAATATCAGGTGGAGCAATATGGCGCGGGAGGATGAGATGCAGGAGTTCACCCGTAGCTTCTTCCAAGGCCACCCGGACCTCAGGTGCACCGGAGGTTGGAGTTGGGGTTGGAAAGGGCAGGGGCGGGACAAGGACTCCGTCTTGACACGTGTTTCCGCAGCACGCTTACGCACTCCATCGTGCGGCGGCGATTCTTGGCTCATGCGGGCCGCGACCACCTGGAACCTGAGGAGAAGCAGGCGCTGAAGCGGCTGGTGGAGGAGGAGCTGCTGAAGATGCAGGTGTGGGGGTGACCCTGGGCCACCGCGGGCGGGGGTGGTGGCCAAGGAGGAGGGGCCTAAGAGGGGTGCGGCAGAACTCTTCCTTGGTATAGGTTTGGCTCTCTTGACGCACACACAGGTGGATGAAGCGAGTGCGAAGGAAGAGAGGCTCCACGTTGGCAAAAAGGCGAAGAGGTCTCCCACCCCTTGCCGTGACCCAGAGAGAAAAAGGTTCCGTTTCAATTCAGAGTCAGGTTAGTGCCTTCTGCATAGTTGGTTCATTAAAAAAGCATTTATTGGACATGTTATGTTTCCCGCCTAGCTCAGTTAGTAAAGAATCCGCCTGCAATGCTGGAGACCTGGGTTCAATTCCTAGGTCTGAAAGAACCCTTGGAGAAGAAAATGGCAACCCACTCCAGTATTCTTGCTTGGAAAATCCCATGGACAGAGGAGCCTAGCAGGCTACAGTCCATAGGTCGCAAGAGTTGGACACGACTTGGCGCTATCTTTTTTACGTCCCAAGAACTTAGATGAGGGCGCGTGGCCCAGGAGTCAAGAACCAGAAACATGGTAAACCGAGAGCTTTTCCCTACTATCCTTCCTTCCATCCATCAAAGTAGGATTCAAGGCAACCTGTCCCAAGTGAAGGGGGGATGGACAGGAGGAACCTGTCCCAACCTTCTGTTTTCTCCACTTTTCAGAGCCCAGCTCTGCAGCCTCCAGTCCAGACCGCCTCAACCCCTCAGCCAAGAATGGGATGGCAGCATATGTCACTCCAACTGAGGATGAGAGTCCAAATCAAACCTCAAAGAAAGCAACTGAGAGCAGTGATGAGGAACAGCAGAGGGACCTGACTGCAAAGATCAGACTAGAGAAGGAGGTGGTGAAGGAGAGCAGTGAGGAGGAGGAAGAGGGCTCTGCCAGAAAGAGAAAGGTCTGGAAAGAAGAGAGCAGTGAGGAGGAGGAGGAAGAGGAGTCCAAGGGCAGGATTAGGAAGAAGCCTGGGACAAACACCAAGCAGGCACCAGGCAAGGCCTCAGGTAGTAGGAAGCAGGCTAGGGAGGAGAGGGAGGACAGTGAGGAGGAACCTGCCCAGGGCCCAGGGAAGAAACCAGAGGGAAAGAAAGGTGCCAAGAGTCACCAGGAAAGTGAAAAGGAGAGTGAGGAGGAGGAGACCCTAACCAAGAAGAAAGAGAACAGAGAGGAAAAAGAGGACTGGAAAGCCACAGCCCAGAGCAGTGGAGGGAAAAGGTCAGTTCGGGAGGAGAGGAGCTATAAGCAGAAAAGCAGGGCAGCACGATTGCTGGAAGACCGGGGGGACAGAGAGGAACAGATGGAAAAAGCAGCAGCAAGCAGTGGTGATAGCGGTGAGAAAGATGAAGAGCCCCTAGTACACAGGCAGCGCAAAGACAGGGCCCAGGGGGAGGCTGGGAAAAGGCAGAATGGAAGCAGTGAGGATGGAGAAGACAGCCCGAGGAAGGTGAAACCAACTACTGGCAAGACAGCCAAAGAGGGCAGTATCAGTGGCGAGGCAAGTGACTCAGAGAAGGAAGTGAGTGACAGCGAGGCAGAGGGGAGCCCCAAGGAGAGGAAGAACCGCTCTTCCAAGATGAGCTCCAAGAAAGGCAGGACACGAAGTCCTTCCTCCTCTTCCACAGATGGTAGTCCAGAACGTAAAGGCGGGAAGGTGAGGGTTGAAGATGGGGTGGGAGGCCACCCTCAGGGAAGAGGGAGACCCTGACTCCAGCCCAGAAGGCTTGGCCTTCAGCTGCTGTCTTCCATTGCCAGGCTGGCTCTGGTCGCTCTGGTGAGGACCACCCCGCTGTGAGGAGGCTCAAGCGCTACATCCGGGCCTGTGGTGCCCATCGAAACTACAAGAAGCTGCTGGGTTCCTGCCGCTCACGCAAGGAACGCCTGAGTGTTCTCCGGGCAGAGCTGGAAGCCCTGGGCATGAAGGGTGAGGCTGGCTGTGCCCTGGGGGCTGCAGAGAGAGGGACTTGGCTGCCAGGGAGGGAGGATCATGAGCTGCTTCTGCTCCAGGTAATCCTTCCTTAGAGAAGTGTCGGGCCCTGAAGGAGCAGCGGGAAGAGGCAGCCGAGGTGGCCTCTTTGGACATTACCAACATCATCAGCAGTTCAGGTGAGGGGCTCCCTTCATTCCCCAGGAGCGGGTGGGATGCAGGCTTTGTCCAGCAACTCCTCTGCTGCTTTCTCCTGCTGTGTAGGCCGGCCACGCAGACGCACAGCCTGGAACCCTTCAGGAGCAGCAGCTCCACCAGGGGAGCTGTACCGCAGGACCCTGGACTCAGACGAAGAGCGGCCCCGCCCCCCACCCCCAGACTGGTCACATCTGCGGGGCATCATCAGCAGTGATGGCGAGAGCAACTGAGCTCCCCCAACCCCAGGAGGGACTTTCCTTTGGTAGAAAGCATATACAGCATTGCTCTCACCACAGCCCCCAGCCCTGCCTACAGAACAGAAGCAGCTTTCTTCAGAGAACCCGCAGCCCCCATGGACACAAGCTGTTGGGATTCTACTCAGCTTCACATTCTCAATTTAAGGTGTTTACAGGGATTTATTTTTAGACTCAATAAAAGAGTGTTTGAATCACCTTGTCAAAACTGGTCCCCCACTCTTAACCCCTGTCCAGGAAGCTGAGGAGCAGCCACTGTCCCCTGGTCTGATTCCCTTTACTTTCTCTGATTCTCCAAAAGAAGTCCCAACCTCCAGACCCTGCCATCCAGTCTTGACTCGAGAAGAGTGTGGCTCCTTCCTCCAGCCTGATCAGCGGGCACCTCTGGCCACCCTGCTTTATAGCTGTCTGATAACCTAACGCCTAGCTGGGAGGAGGATCTGAATAACTGGCCTTAAGAAGAATGTGAAACACAGAATGAAAGGACTGGGGAACAGCTGTTGTTTATGTCTTTCTTCCCCCTCCTGGAAACAGCCACTTAGTTCATGGGCTGACTCTTTCAGTCTTTAAAGGGGTGGGTACAAGATCTAAACCCGACCAATTGGAGCACCCGAGGCCTCTGGCTATAGATCAAACCAATGGAGTCACTTCAGGACTGCCGGAATTCTTACTGTTGAGGTCGTTAGTAAGCTGTAAGCCTGGAGCTGCCAGGGGCTTGTGGGTGAGGTGAACCTTTTGAAAATCTGAAGCCAAAGCAAAGGGAAGCAGAGGTCCAGGGACTGATGGCTTCCTCTGAAGACCTAGATTCAGTCATGTCCAAAGTCAATGAAGTCACTGAAATCCTTAGTTCACACAACCCAGTGAGTTCAAGTGACACTGTCACCTGCCACTCAGCATTCCTTTACACACGTTAAGACAGAAAAGGTGAGTCCTGGGATCTGTCAGAATAACCAACAGTTTATTAAAAGCTTGCTGTAGGGCTCTGTGCCAGCCCCATAGCTGGGAGGGGCTCTCATGACTGCCCCCAGGCCCGGGAGCAGCCCCTTCCAAGGTTTTTATCTTGTTTACCTGCCCCAGCTCTGATCTCAATTAAAAAAAAAAAAAGATAAAAGGACAAGACGGCACAGGACGTCAGACAGCAACGGGGGAATGGAGAGACCCAGGCATCCTGACCCCAAGACCCCATCCCGATCTTTCAGGAAGGCTTTTTCCTCCAGTTCTTCCCTCCCAGGCCCCAGACCTGCTCTGCCACATCCCAAGTCTGGGGGCCTGGTGTCCCCAGTCCATGGCCCCACTCCAGGGGGTAGTATAGTTCTCTTTATATAATATATCTAGACCCACCCTTCCCCCTCCCCCAGGGGACTAGATAAATATTTGACACGCATATCTCCCTCCTCTCCCGAGGCCGTGATGGAGAGAAACCCTGGCACCATGGTGGGGAGGCAAGGGCTCCCGGCCAGCCTTGAGGCACCTATGCCAAGCTGGCCTTGGGCCGCTGGCCAGCCCAAGAAGCTCATGAGATGAGGTCTGAGAGGAGGAGCTGGAGCCAACATCCTATCCCCCACCCTTGGGTGGACCTCAGGCTTACAGCCCTCCAGGATCAGGCTCCACCCACCCCTGCCTCATTCATCTGCTCATATCCACCTTGTACTTCAGGAATAGAAGTGGGAGGAACCATTGAGGATGTGGGAAGCGACACTGGTGCTGCGGCTCAG